GCCCTAACCCTTTTGGGTTCCCCCCTTTTTTTTTTGGAAGGGGGGGGCCCCGGGGGAAGGGGGGGGGGGGGGGCGGGGGGGGGGTACTCTTATGTTTTGCGTGCCTTAGAGGTTAGACCATTGACCTCGCGCCCTCGAGAGGACGACGCGATTGGGGGGGAAGCTACGTTTTGGCTTGGGATGCAGGGTGCGTCTCCAGCAGAATATCGACATACAGCAACAGCAGCGGCAGTAGCAGCAGCAACGGCCTCACCAGATGCAACAGCGGCAACAAGCGGCAGCAAATGCAACACCGACGCCCCTTCGAGTACAGAATGGAACAACTCCAGTATTCCATCTGTGCCAGACGATTTCACCAGCAATATAGCGGGCAACCGGCAAACAACTTTGAATATTCCATCTGTGCCAGACGGCACTATTCTACCTGCATAATGCCGGGACCACTGCCGTACTTAGGATATACAAAAAATTGTGTGAACTCGGAGCGGTTGCGTACCTGTGAAGCAGGGTCCGCTGGAGCAGGCTTAGCGTGTCTGTCATCGTAGACCTGAAGAAGCGTGGGTTAGGGATAGGTATACGGGTTAACCGAAGAGGGACCGCCTAGGCGAGAAGTTAAGTTGGTGAGAAAATAGAACAGGGGGGGGGGGCGAAGGCCCTACATACCCAACCCAACTTCCCCGATTGCAAGCCTTATCCAACGTGTCTAGTGAATAAAGAGAAACTGCAAAGGCTACTCAGCAGCAGGTAGGGTAGTACCGTCTCGAAATATTTATTTCCTGCTGAGCCCCTCGGGTGTCTAATACAAAGTACACCGTTTTGGGGGTAAGTTGGCATGTGAACACCGAAGGGAATTGACCGCGTCAAGTGGTTGACTATTGTAGTACGGACAAAAGAAGCTACTGGGTATATAGAGAGGACGGAACGGTTTTTCATGTGAAGACAACAACAACAACAACAACCCGGTGTTTTGAATATTCACGGCGTAGGGAGAACGAAAATGATCAGATTGACACAGAGTATGCAAAATTGCAACATGTGGTCGACGTCACTGTTTGCAGCAGGGAGGGTGCGGCGGTCTCACAAACATTGGCACTTCTTATGCAGGGGATTTTTCGAGTGTTCACGGTACGGAGAAAAAGACGATATGATCGGCTTTCCACAGTGTCCAGATTTAAACATCTTCTCGGGCGATATGTTGAAATTTGGACAATGTATTAAGCCTATCATTGTCTTTCTCCCCACCGTGAGTTCTCGAAGACACTCGCCAGAAAAGTGTCAATGTTTTCGAAACCGCCCCACACCCACGACAACGCGTTGAAATTCGGACACTGTGCAAAGCCGATCATTGTCTTTCTTTCGACAACACTTTGCATTTTACACACCGTGTAAAGTCGATCGGTGTCTTTCTCCTACCGTGTGGCAACACGTTGACATTTTGCACACTGCTGTGCAAAGCCGATCACTGTCTTTCTCCCTGCCGTGAACACTCGAAGAGACCGGGCAAAAACATTTCAACGCCTTCGAGATGGCGCCCCCTCCCTGCTGCTAAATAGCGTCGACGTCTGCCACGATAGGCAAACGCCGTTATGCTATTCTTGTGCTGAATTCGGCTTCGTTTGTATCTAGCGGGGTGCTTCGATCCTTTCTTGTGCAAATAGTTGGATTGGCGCTTCGACCCATTTTTGTTCCGATTTCGGATTAGTTTGTAGAGGGGCGCTTCGGTCCATATTGTTCCGAATTTGGATTCGCTTGCGGAGAGGCGCTTCGTTCCATTCTTGTCCCGAATATGGATTCGTTTGCCTTAAGGAATAGTCACAGGGCCGACAGCACCAAAGGCCGAGCCGGCATACTGCCGGTTGGTAGCAATTGGCTCGGCGAACCATACCCGGTAGGGTTGGTGCGAGCCTGCCGCGAACCAGGCTCGTGAGAGCCGGCGAGCTTGGTGAGCGAGGCCGGAACGGCGCCGTCCCTACCTCCATGTCGAGCGACGCTGGCCTTGGCCGCGGCTGCTGTGTTTGCCTTCTCTGCACACGCGGTCTGGCGCTCGCTTGCCTGATTTTGGCGCTGTAGGAGCTTGTCTGAGTTCTTTTGCGGCACGGGTGCTCTTCATATTAGTTCTAAAACGGAGAGCACCCGTGTGGGAGAAGAAACCAGGCAGCTCCTACAGCGCCAAAAGACTAACACGGAGAGCACCCGTGTCGGAAACGAACTCAGACAAGATCCTACAGCGCCAAAAGCAGGCAGGCGAGCGCCAGGCCACGTGTGCAGAGAAGGCAAAAGCAGCAGCCGCGGCCAAGGCCAGCCTCGCTCGACAATACGGAGCTAGGGACGGCGCTGTTCCGGCCTCGCCCACCAAGCTCGCCGGCTCTCAAGAACCTGGTTCGCAGCAGGCTCGCACGTACCCTTCGGGGTATGGTTCTCAGAGCCACTCGTTCACCGATCCTACTGGATTTGGTTCGACGCAAGAACCCCCCACCGACCCCCAAGAGGTCGGCGCGGAGCCCGCGGTCGCCCGTCCTTAGGGATTTGGCTCGCAGCACATGGCGCTCGCTAACCGGCTCGAATGACCTTAGTTCTGAGCCCCGGCACGCCGGCCCTCCGGGCTACGGTATGCCATACCGGCGGCAAGGCTGTCGTTACACCCACCGCTGTCCATCGCTACGGGTGTGGCTATGTGTTGCCGCCCCAGGCCTTCCCGTCCTACAGCCAGATGCCGCAAGAACCGCCGGACCTGAGCCTTAAGCGTGGGGACGTGGTTCTTCGACGTGCCCGTTGCGACACAGGTGGACGTCGACACCCCTTCCCCAAGATGTCC